GCTCGGCGCCGCCCGCCCGGCGGGAGCTGCAGTGCATCGCCTCCCCGCGCGGCGCGGGCCTGCATCGCGTGTCTCTGCGCCGCGGGGGGCCCGGAGTGACACCCATGCCAGGCTTTTCCAGCCGCTGAAGCACATCCAGGAAACTGCCTCTCGCCGAGAGTCGGCGTTAGGCGTGCTCCGCACGAAAGCGTTTTCAATAAAAGATCTCGCCCGTTATGCCTTATTTGAGCTCGTGCTCAATCCAATCACTGTCTGTACTGGCGGGGCGGGGGAGGTGATTTGGGTTCCTTTAAAGATCAACGAAAAGCAGCACATTGGGAACAAGCGGGAGGCTTTGTCGTTTCTTTCGGCCGCTTTGCAATGCAGCGGAAAAGGCGCCAGGGTCGGGCCCGGAAAGTCCGCGTGGAAATCGCAGCGTGCGTAGATCCACGGGCGGTTTCTACCGCCCACGCGGGGTGGGGTGCACGCGCGCGGGGGTGTCTCAGTGAGCCGCAACCCCCAGCTAGTGCTGCCACCTGAGAGCTGAATTAAAGTGCACGGACTCTAGTAGCCACAGCGGCATTGTCGTGCAAGCCCAGTGTAGACGAGGGCTCCCGAATGGAAGCAAAGGGGAGGGGAGACGCGTCCCCTCTTGGCCTGCTTGAACTCCCATTGAAATGTTTCATGGACTTCAGTCGGAGGGACCACGCTCCCCCATCACTGGATTCGCTCCCCCGCCCTAATAGCTCCATCAACCCCAAAGAGGTTGACGAAAGCCACTGTCTGCCAGTGACTTGGTCGCCTGCCTGTTGAAAGGGCGATGCAACCAGGTGGCCAGATCCTGCATTTCCCGTCACCCCTGCAGGCGAGTGGGACTTCGGCTCCGGGGAGGGGGGATGATTGGCCGGACTAGGTCCTACATCTTTTAAAAAACGTACGTCGATCGGCCCTCAGGCAGTTGGACAAAACGCGGTTGTCAACGAGGGACAAGTCTGATGTCACCCCGGGCCGGCGCAGGGACAAAGCGGCCGCTGGAAGCCGGGGTCCCGGAACATCGGTCGCCTCTAAGGAAACACATGGAAGGAGGGTCGGTGAACAAGGCCCCGACAGCCGGGTCACCCGCCGCCGCGCTGTAACGCGGAGATCGGGGCGTCGCGACCCCGGCATCGCACACGGGCCGGGCCCCGCCAGCGGCACGTGGGGGATGCGGGCAGAGCCCGGCTCCCTGCCGAGCCCCAGGGGCCCGACTCTGCTCGGCCGGACCTGAGCTTGGGACCCGGCAGGTTTCACTTGCACACAGGGCTCTTCCCGGCTCCCCCGCGCCGGACTCCCCTCCTATCCCCACCCCCCTTTCCCAAACGTGCTGATTAACCTCTGCCAGTGTCCGCCCCACTGTCCGCCTGCTGGGCCGGAAGCAGCCATGCACACTCATTATTGCATTTTGTACCTGAAATTAATCTTTTTGCCAGGCAGGTCCCCGCGATCAACAGGCCGTTGTATATGATAATGTTTTCCTCCCCCTCGCGGCTCCCCCTGCCCTCTGCCGACTCACTGTGGATGTGACCTTTGTTATTTCAGCCCGCACTCAGCAGTTAAATGGAAACAAGTTGAGCACGTTCACTTCTGATAAACATTATCCTTAAACCACTGGAGACCCGGGCAGAGTAAACGAGCTTTTCCGACAGGACCACATCAGGAACACACATTGAGAAAGGAAAAGAAACCGAATATCCCAGGGCTCGGAGGCGCGGGCGGGGGCAGAGCGGGGCAGACAGGTTAGAAGATGCTGGAGGAGGCGGGGGGAGGCACAAGGCTGATGCGACAGTCCAGAGGGCACTGGGGGTTGGGGGGACTGAGCCCCGGGCTGCGGGATCGGGCCCTCCAGCGCCCGGCTCTCACCCCAAGTCCAAGCGCCCTGAGCCTGGCGAGCTCCCCTGCACACCCCCCACTTCCCAGGAACAAGCGGCCAGGAAAGCTACCAGGCAGCGACTGCCGCACAGAGCATGCATGGGAGCAGCCCTGAGCATCTTTGGACATCCCTAGGGCAAGGTCCTGGTTTTAGTGCTAGCATGCAGTCATGTAGGCAAAGGTGGGATATGTTGCAACTCTAGTCGCGAAAGGCAGAGGGGAAACCGTCGCTGAAGAAAATACCGGCTCTTGTAGAGGCTTCGTCTAACGATTCCAGTTCCGAAAGGCGGCTGCGTGAATTCAGATCGGAAGCGTTACGCCCATGCCCTCCTCCCCTGCATCGTTAAACGACATAACGAACCTCGATGAGTGCGGTGTTAGTCTTCCAGACATCACTGCCTCCTCTTTTCACAACACACAGAAAGCGTCCACGGCCGGTGACAAAAGTATTTCTGTTCCCAGCAGCTCCTCTGAGCCCGCTCAGCTGAAGAGCGCGGAGCGGTGTCGAGGCGCTGCCCAGCGGAGGCGGCTGCGTGAAAGTGAGGCTATTCCACGATTGCCAACTATGCTATTGTGACTAGGCAAATGCCGGAACCCCGGCACAGAGCGCGTAGGCTCGAGGCACGGCAGATCCCAACGTCCCTATGGCTATTTGATTACAAAAAAATCCATAACAGACTCATGTCTTCCCTTCCCTCCACCGAGGATCACTGATCCTCGTGCTGTTTCCTGGACTATCCTACTCATTTCTATGGTGTGCAGGTTTACTTGAGCTCAAAAAACATTGCACAGCAAAGCCCTGCATTCATTTACATTCCGTTCGGGTTTCTAACTAACTCATTGCTTTCAAAAATGCCCTCGGTTTCACCTATTTCATCTGAAAAGGATTTCTGGAAGCAAAGCAAACACTCCGTTGAAGGCAAATCACATTTTTTAAAATCCTTTTATTGTCAGGTAGTTTATCCACAACAAATAATTCCTAGGTGAAGAAACATTCACCGATCCTTGTAAACTCGAGTGTTGCAAAACGCAACATTTGAAGGAAAAAGACGAGAATCCTGGTTGGAACTGGAGAAGGTTTAAGCTGTGTGTGTAGTGAAATATTTGTGGGACCCGCGTAAGTGTGTCCACGCACATAGATCATGAACCGTACGCGCTCCAAAGCCAACAAAAACACGCCTAATACATTCGCACATATGCAGAAACATACGATGAACCACGCATCCTCCTATGCCAGCTAACTTTCTGGGTTGATTTTCTTGTCACTGTTTAGGGTTTTGGGTTTTTTTTTTAATTGTGCTAGGGTTTTTGATGAAGTCACAACCAGCTCCGAGGCTTCACATCGGGCAGCCAAACAGGAGGTCATGTTTAGGATAGGAAGGGGAAATTGTCCCAAGAGCACCCAGCCCAACACCAAGGAGGTCAAAAGACAACGGGTTCTCCTCTGAACCCTGCTGAATGCCTATCCGCTGAATACCACCGCATCCGCACAGCTCGCAGTCTGACTTCACTCTGCTATATACTCCTGGTTCCTAACAAACACCATTTTACCTTTAACACTGACAGCTCTGTGGTGCCTCAGCTTGATCGCATGTTCACATAGGAAAAGGCATTTTATTTGTAAAAGTGCAGCCAGATGAGCGCATGAAAATACAACCAAATCCCATTCTCTGGGACAGAAATGTTAAAAAGCCCTGATTTATTTCACCAGACTTCTCTCCTACTTTCCTGTGAAGCTGCCAACAGCAGTTGCTGAGTATAAAGATCAACCCCCTTTTTTCTTCTTTCTGATAATTCGCTTTACAAGGAACCATGGCACAGACACTTGTATGAACCAAAAGGCAAACACAGTTTCAGACTTTGAACTAATTGCTTCTCTCTGGAGAGAGATGAACTTCACATCTGTCCTACTGGTAGCAGCATATTATATTAAAGGTGCTGCCAACCCCTGGAAATAGGTCAATTTGAGAGCTCTGACCCACCCAGCAGACAGAACAAATTATTAGTATTTTTTCCCCTGCAAAAGAATGACTTACAAAAGTGGTAGCATTTAAGTATTCAGCGCACTGCCAGTTTCTGTGTAACTTACCACTACGCAGGTATTAAATATTCATTTCTATTGTATTAGCAATCCAGGTGCTGAGCATGCCTGCAAGAAGGAGCGGAAGAGCCTTCTAGGATGATGCTGTCTGTCATCGGGCCCTACCAATAGGAAGCTCGCTTTGCCTAGGGTCCGCCCCCCAGGGGGCGGGCCTCTGGTGACTGATAGACTGGGACGTCCTGCCCAGCCCAGCCCTGCCCACGTTGCCGTGAGATTGAAATGCAGAACTCAAGTCTCTTTCATCGGGAAACAGACTTCCTTGTAGTCCTTTTTCCTTACATGCTTGCTATCTCCTCAGTGGAAATCAGAGGGACCCGGGGGCTATTCCAGCCGGCAGTGCAGGAGGCTGGGACACCGACTTGGTTGTTAGGTTGCCTCTTGGCAGCTAGAGTAGCCTCCCTGGTGTCCTGCTAAAGAGCAATGGGTAAGTGGCTGGGCGCTACAGGAGGACTCACGGGCTGTCAAGGCAGAGCACCAGGGTGAGATTATGGGCAGCCACAATTTGCTTATTGACTTTGTCCGTGTTCCTACGAGCTGTAGGAACATGTTAAGGGTCAGCAGCTCAGACTGGAGCGAGCTAATGACTGGTTGGTTTATTATTAATGCTATTAGGAGAGTGAGTATTAAAGGGCCGCAGCCTAATGGATGGCTGGAGCCCGTGGCACGTTGTATATTATTGCTGACACCGATCTGAGCAGTTCAAAATGTAACCCGTTTGCCTTGCAGGGCGGTGTAATGGTGCTGTTAACAAAGCGGCGCGAATAGAAACAAGCAGCACCCAGATTTGGTGGGGGAGGGTGTGTTTCTTTTCTTTTCTTCTTTTTCTTGTTTTCCACCCTCTAAGTGAAGGCTGGTTTTCTCCCGGCTCCGCGGAGTTTGCAGAGCTCAGTGCCCCGGGTGTGCTCGCTTTCGCGGGGCTCCTTCTTGCAGATTTGTCTGCTCGCCCGAGCTCATTTTTCATCTCTGGAATGTGCGTTTTTGGAATACGCTTCTCGCCCACTGTTTTCCGCGGATTTTTCTTGTGTCGATAACACGAGATTTTTTTTTTCCTTGGGGGGAAAAATGCGAGTGAAGTGACTCTGCTGAGTGCCATCTGCCTTGTGCTGCTGCTGAGTCCAGACGCCCCCCTCCCCTCCCCCCTTAACCAGCTTTACCGTGTCCAATGCGTGTGTTGTGTGTTTGCTTGCAGAGCCTGCCTTTGGGGAGGTGAACCAGCTCGGCGGGGTGTTCGTGAATGGGAGACCCCTGCCCAATGCCATCAGGCTCCGGATTGTGGAACTGGCCCAGCTGGGCATCCGACCCTGTGACATCAGCCGACAACTGCGGGTTTCCCATGGCTGTGTCAGCAAAATCTTGGCTCGCTACAACGAGACTGGCTCCATCCTACCCGGGGCGATCGGAGGCAGCAAGCCCCGGGTCACCACCCCCACGGTGGTGAAACACATCCGGACCTACAAACAAAGGGATCCGGGCATCTTCGCCTGGGAGATCCGGGATCGCCTGCTGGCAGACGGCGTGTGCGACAAGTACAACGTGCCCTCCGTCAGCTCCATCAGCCGGATCCTCCGGAACAAAATCGGAAACCTTTCCCAGCAGAGTCACTACGACTCCTACAAACAGCACCAGCCGCCTCCCCAGCCCGCCCTGCCCTACAACCACATCTACTCCTACCCCAGTCCCATCGCGGCGGCGGGGGGCAAGGGGCCCACCCCCCCGGGGGTGCCAGCCATCCCCAGCGCCATGGCTATGCCGCGCACCTGGCCCTCCTCCCACTCGGTCACGGACATCCTGGGGATCCGGTCCATCACAGACCAAGGTAAGACACTGATCTGTCCGCACAGGACGCCAGAGGGGTCCCGAGCACCTCCTGTCCCCGGGGCAGGAACATTTCGGCGTCTTGTTTCAAAGCAGGAAGCTTCCGAGCTTAATTTCATGTCTATTCCTCCGTAGCTTGAACTCTTCCATAGCTGGAACTCGCGCAGATCTCGAGTTCCAGCAGGCACCCGAGACTACGATCGGTTAGTAGCGCTTTAATGTGCAGCCAGATCCTGTGGGATGGCTCACCCCCATCCCTCTTATGTAAGTCCCTAGCTCGGGCACTGTATTTCCCTCATGGCTTTGTCATCTTTCCTGTGGTTGAGACATACAACGTATCTATAGAGCGGTGATACTAGTCCTAATGCTACCACTAACACTATTCATACCAATGCTCTGCCAATGGCAGTGTCATTGGAGGACAGACAGGGTAAACTAAAGAAAATGAGCCCTGCTCGCGAGCTGTATCTGTCTCAGGCCAGCGCACACATGGATCTGTGCGCGGCTTCCCTATCACTAAGTAATCCCATCATGAACTTGCATAACGCTGTGTATGATACATATTCCTTACCCAATCAGGCACTGAGCAGTCAAGGCATCTTCTGGCAATGAGGGAGAAATTCACCTCTCTCGTTTTCGCAATCAGGCCAAATTTGCTCAGACAGGAAGTTCAAATGTCACCTAATTGCTCTCGTTCTTACGCTTTATTTTGTTTTCCTCCGAAGTGGTGGTCCAGAAAAACGAAACCACTAGTATTTAGCGTGTGTTTAAATCTGTCCAAGAGCCTCCTTTTCTTTAAATCTGTCCCAGAGCCTCCTTTTCTTCCACGATCCCTCTCTTACCCCGGCTTAAAAAGATTAGCTCCTCGCTGACCCAGTCCCTAGACTTTGCGGCAAAAAGGAACAGGTTTAGTCTTTTTCACTTCACTACTCGTGCGATTCAAACAACACTGGAAAACTACCCTTAGTCCTCGCTATCACGGTCGCTTCCATCCAGTAGAGCCGGGGATCCGATTTCTGTTTTCATTGCCTGTTTTTAACCACACGATCTGGCTGCACACATTAAAGCGCTTCGCAGCTACCGAGGGGAAAGAAATCTTTTTTAGGTGTAGTAAAATACTGGCCAGTAATTCTGTAAGAAGGGCGGCGGGGATGTCCAAGGGGAGGGGGAGTCCCTCCCGCTTGGCACTCGGATCCAATGCCCGACCCCTGGGCGCCCAAATTCGGAGCAAACACATTTGCGTGTGGAGCTGAACCTCGACGCTCCCCACGGCAGGGACTGTTGGTTTCGGGCTGGATGGAATGTTTGAAATGAACATTACAAGGAAAATTAAATTAGAAATTGAGAGGCTTTTAATGATTTCCTCCTTTATTAACACCACATTGGCAACAAGGCCTCTCCTGGTACCACGGAGTGTCTGGATTTCTTTCCTCCTCTGTGTCGGGCTCCGGGATTTACAAGAATCTCTGCAGTAGGAATTCGCCTCTCCCCTTAGCCCAAGCTGGGAAGACTGAGCAGCAGAAGCTGCATATGAGGGTTGTTTGCCCTTGATTTATAGGATAAACTGACCTTGGTGACACTGAAAGGAAACCCCTATTCGTGGGAAAGTGTGAGATCAGCAGAAACGGGGGCTCGAGGAGAGAGCTCAGTTTCTTAAGACAACTTCAGGTTTGGGCCCGGGGAGCGAGGAGGTGACAGAGGTGCTTTGAGAACAGAAAGCGGGTCCCGTGGGAGCCCTTCCGCCTCCCAGCAGCCGGGCTGGGCTGGGCAGGGCAGGGCAGGGCAGGGGCCGGGTCCCCCGGCGGGGCCGGCAGCTCTCACCAGGCGGCGGAGACATTTGTCTCGCGTGCCCGTGGCCCCGCTCCCTGCTGGGCCGAGCTGCTTGTCCCGAGCGGAGAAAGCCTTCCCCAGTCTGCAGCAGCGCCAGGGGGGGTTGCAAGCGCGATCTCGTTTGCTTCTGGGGGAGGGTGGTGGGGTGGGATCCATTCTTTCGTTACACCCACCTTGGAAATCATTATGTCAAAGACCCAGTTCTCCCGCGCAGTTTTCTCCTCTAAATTGCATGCTGTCGGGGGAAGGTGATGACGACCGAATCGCAGCGGCCCGGGGGCTGGTGCTAATCGGTTTATCCCGTCTCATTTGCTTTGTATGTTTATGCGCTGCGTCCCCAGAAACGCAGAAGGGGCTTGTGCCCCTGGCCCGGCCCGGCCCGGCCCGGCCCGGCGACCAGCTCCGCCGCATCGCTCTGCGGCTCCCGCTTGGCCGTTTCAGCGCCCTTGCCAGCTCGCAGCCCCGCGCGGCCGGCCTCGCTGCCCAGGCGGGGGGGACACAGCCCGCACTTGAGCGCGTCGGATCCACATGCCACTCAAGGCCGCCGGGGGCATCAAACAGGAAGAGAAGCCCCCCCTCCCCCTTTTCTCTGCCGGGGGGAAGGAGATGAGGCAGTTGTAATGGCAGTGAGGAGGGGCAGGAGGGTGTCAGCCAGGTCGGGTCAGTTCCCCGTGAAGAGAGAGCTGTGCGCCCCAGGCCGGGCC